ATACCTAGTCATAAATTTATTTGTTTTTTAAAGAGGAAAGGCAGTGAAGAAAATAAAAAACTCATGGCTGAAATCAGAAATCACAAGACGAGTTCATCATATGTCCAAATGACACTCAGTTGCTAAAGGAAGTCACACGTTTAGAGGGCTCTTGAGGAGGGAGTAAGTCAGGATGTTTCCAGGACATGATTTCGGGAGAATCAGACACACAGGCTAGTCACAAAAGTCGCTTAATTGTCCGTGTACCCTGAACCCATGACTTCAAGACTCAGCAGCTTCATCCTTCATGGCACCAAACCTTCATGTGAGGGATGCAAAGACACACTTTTAAGAATCGTGGGTTTGTCTTTACTCAAAATTTGGGGGACTGGCTGAAAAAAACAAAACAAGGAGACCTTATCCCTCAGTGAAAGGGATTCTGTGTTAACTGTCAACTAGATCAACATATAAAATATGTAAAAGAAATATAGCACAGCAGTGTATCAAGGTCAAACATCTAAAACAAGATTCCATTGTAAAGAGAACCAAATGGCTTTTACCTCCTTAAAGAGCCCACAAGTGCACCAATTATCTCTTTATGTAGAGAGATTTCTGTATCTTTTGCCATGGTTGGTTCAGCAGTAAATGACTGAGAATGTGGGACTGTGATGAGACTCTCAAAGGGTGCCATGTAAAGTCAGGGAAAATGAATATGTCACGGAACGGGTGTAAGTGGGAAATCCTGTGATAATCTCGATGATGCTCCAGGGCTGTCCATGCAGTGAGGGATGTCAGCTTTGCTATGGGGCTCACCAGAGAGGCTATAATGGAGCATTTCTTGGTTTCCATCTTGCGTCTCTGTCATGTGGATGGCTGGAGTGAAAGCCAAATCCTCGCCTATGATTCAGTTTTGCCATTTTTAAAAGACACCATCAGACTTGGTGACAAGGCTGGTTAAAAAAAGTACTTCAGTTTTTCAATATTTTTTTTTTAAATAGAGGATTGAGTGATGAGGTAAATGAAGTTTGCTTTTCCTTGGATAGAGACCCTTCCTCCCACCCTTATCCCCTTTTGACCGTTGCAAAATAGCTTAGTCCAAGGAAAGGGGAGAAGACAAATGAGTCAAATAATGCCAGAATCAGCTGTTGCCAGGAAAAACACACTCTGATTCAGTTAATTTGTTCTGTTAATGTCAAAGGCTGTGATTCCCAATTAACTAATTTTAAGAAGCTGTAACCGAAAATAGCTACATTAGCCCTAAAGTTAATATTTGATGAAGATTAGGATCTTCAAGTAAGAAGAACAGGGCCCCCAAAGAGGTGGTGATGTCTGCTTAAGATCATCTTGCTAAACAGGAACACAACTGGCTGGGATTTTCAAAATGGGTTTTAGCCCCTTCAGAGAAGTTGAGTGGAGTGGGAGGGCAGGGGGCAAGCCAAAGATTCTGGCAATAGAAAATGTTCCACAAATCAGATTTGCATACACTCAACTTACTAATGGCAGAAGCATCCCTACTGTTGAGCCTCTCTGGGATAGAGATGCTCCCCTGGATCAGGTGGAACTAATTAGAACAGGCATGTAGTTTGCAGGATTTCCAGCTCTCTCGCTGAAAGGCTCCATGCGCAGAAACCAGAACAGCTTGAGCAGCTGAGAAAAGTTGGGCCAAAAATGACTCCACCCGCCCCTCTCCTTCCTCTTCCTTTACATTGGAATGGAAAGATGGAATAATAATAATTAAATTAAAAAAAAAACAACCCAGAACGCTCATGGTTTCTGTCCAATTGCAAGTGCTTTCATTACATTTGAATAGGTTTAAAATAAAGGCATACAAGTTCTTAAACGTCAAAATCCTAACTTGCTAATGAAGTCGCAAATTATCCGGAAGAAAATTATGTACAGACACATGCCGAATGGCAGAATATTTTGCCTCTGAAAGTTCAGTTATTGCCTTTGTAATATTAAAGCCCAACAGGGAGTCAGTGGGACACGGCTTGTACTGTCTTGTCACGTTATGAGTTTCTGGTTTCAGGTAAAAGGGGAGAAAGGGCCCTTAAGAAAGTAAAGAGCTAGGAAAAAAAAAATCAAACTTCCTTCTCGGAAAGCTATGGGTTGTTTTCCTGGAGATGATGGATAATGGCATTTCAATGTTTTTTTTTTTTTAGTTTTTAATAGAGAAAATGGAGGCAAATCACAGAGGGAAAAGAGAATATATAAATAAACAGAACAAGGTGAAGTTTCAACAAGAGCTTCCCTCAACTTTTTTCTTTCTTTTTCCATCTTTTTCTTTTTCTCTTTCTTCCTTTTTTTTTTTTTTTTTTGAAATCTTAAACCCCATTTCTGGCTTGCATTTGGTAGGATTCCTGCTCTGGCTTTTATTAAAAACAGACTTTATGTGGTCAGAATTCTTCATCTTAAGCTAAACTTTAATAGGCATAAGGATCCTGACAGCTTCTCTCTTGGTCTCTCTCAGGTGACCCCCCCCACCCCCCAGAGGAGTTTCCTTCCCATTGCGCTGAACTGGCGCTGAAATTTGAAGGCTCAGCACAAAAACCAACTTTCCTCTTTTACTCTGAAGCCTCATTTCTGTTTTACATTTGAGACTCTTTTCAAGGCCAGGGCGTTAGGTCTGGCTCCAAGTGGAGAATATTCTAGAAATTTTGAATAACATAACTGGTGTCCTATAAATTCCCCAACACAGATGCATTAAACCTGGCAGTTCCCCTTCTCTAGTGCGAGCTACTGATTCCTGATTCCTGCCCGCTACCTTCTGTGAGCGAGCTTGGAAATACCAAGGGCGACTCCATCCCGCTTAACAAATCAATTTAGCATTCAACGGTATCTCTGAAGGGTATTGGCAAGCCAGCTTATCTGAAACCAAGAGGTAAAGCAGCCAAGCAAGCAAACAAAGACATGCATGTTCATTCCTGAGGAAAGGCACCACCAGGTTGCTCTGGTTCCTTCTTGTAGCTAAACAGACAAAATAGCCCACTTCGAGGCTCCTGTATAGGATTCCTGCCCGCTCCCTCTCCTGCCCTCCCCCAGTGGCCTCCATACCTTCCTGGCACAATGGCAGATACATTCCCAGTCAGTCTGAGGTTTCCTAAAACAATCATTTATTTAATCTTGCTTGTAGTGGGTGAGGCTCAACACTGACATTTATTTATTTATTTTTCACGTGGAAGGGAAAATCTCTGCAATACTGTAGTGCAGTGGTTCTCAAGGGGAGGGAGATTTTACACCCCATGCCCCACCTCCCCAAATACACTAGCGATGTCACAGCTGGGGCAGTATGACTGACATCCAGTGGGTCGAGGCCCGGATGCTGCGAAACATACTAAAATGCAAGGGCCAGCCCCCCACGACAAACATGGCAGTAGAGTGCCAAGGTCGAGAAACCCTGGTATTGTGATTGGAAGATTGGGCTCTGGAGTCAGACTGCTTGGGATTAAAGCCCAGCTCCGTTAGGGTCTGGCTGAGCAGCCTTGGGCGAGCTGTTTGAACCTCTATGCCTCATCTGTAAAATGGATAATCACCTCTCCCTTTGGGCTGTCATGAGCAGTAAACACAAATGTACCTGCAAAGCACTTAGAACAGTGCCTAGCATACACTGAGAGCACAATAAATATTAGCTATTGCTTTTACTATTATTACCAGAAATGTAGCTCTGTTCCAAATAAACTGTAAAGCTGAATCTTCGTTTTAGAGGGAGAAAATATAGGTTTGAGAGTACATGTATCCTTTTTGATTAGGACCCAAGTGATGATCACCCTGACAGCCACAGTGCTTTACAGTTTATCAGGCTCATTACATACGACTAGGTAACAACCTTGTTGAAACTGTTCTTATTTCATAGATGGGGAACCCCTAGCTCAGAGTTCAATGAGCTGTGCAAGGTCTGTAGCAAACCAGGCCTTCTGAATCCACATCCCCTGCTAGTCCTGCTCGTCCCCCCTTTGTTTACGAGTTTAAGATGCCCCTTCTCTTCATTACACCCAACAGCCCGAAGATCAAAATCAACGTAAGCCCTGTAATCAGAGAGTGAGGTGACTCAGGCTTCGTCGGGGGGAGGAAGTTACCCTTCTTTCATGGTACGTGCATAGCAAGGTTTTTCTTCGTCAAGCATACAAATATTTTAATTGCCTGAACTGAATATTTTTAAAAAATTAAATTTCTGTATGAGCTAATTTCCTTTCCTGTTAAAATTTCTGATGTTGAGGAAAAAGCCTCCCAACTCCTTCTATTTTTAAAATCTGTAGTTATACACATTGTACATATTTGGCTGTAAACGTACAAAGGTGAAAATATAGCTTCAACTATGTACATGTTTCACGTTTCATTTATTCACTATTTTGTTTCACAAGTAAGCCTGAAAAATCTGCTTCCATGTGCCCAAATGTATTATTCAAATGTACAATGTTCCATCTCATATATGGTTAGCGACTGCATGCAGCAATCATCGCGTCTGCGTTAAAATTTCTACGCATAGTTTTTAAAAATATATTGCAAACTAATCAGCCCAGTTTTTACTTAGGCTACAGTAAAGTTAATAACGTTGGGTTTAAGGGTTATAGTTCAGGGGGCAAATGGATACTATTCCTTGAAGTTAGTGGTTTTCCAGAATTCCTGTGGTAATAGAGGTGAGGCCTTAGCTCCTGATACTCCCTCATGACCTACGGAGCACACAGCTTGCAATAACCCAGCCATGGCTCTTTCTTTCCTTTCAAAGTGCTCTTTCAAATTATACAAACAGCTGCCCCGATGTCGTTTATTTGGACCCCGTTTTCTTTGGTCCCGTTTAGTTTGTGCCAGTGGATAAAGGAGAGGTTTGGACCACATACTGGTTTTTAAATGGTGTCACAGGCTCCGTGGTTTTCCCATGATACCCCTCTCCTAGGTGAAAATTGCAAATGTGTATGATAATATCTTTGCAATTTTCTTTTCCAAATAGATTCTGTCTGTTAGGCTAGAAGAAGAGCACCGAAGGGCATCCCCCCAGCGTGCGTGGCCTGCAGAGCACTCACCTGGGGACGCTGGGCGGGGCCCTCGTGGGCCTGGAGGGAACTTGCGGGGGCGCCCCGAACCAATCGCTGCTGCTGCTGCTGCTGGGGAAAGGGGGGAGCGGTCCGGGCCTGAAGGGCACCGGGGGCGCCCCGGAGTGCGGGCCGGGGGAGGGAATGGCGGGCGCAGGCCCTCGGCCAGACGCGGGCCGCGTGAGGGGAGCACTCAGCGTTGGCCGCCTCTGGGTGGTGGGGCTTGGCGGGGGGGACCTGAGGACAGACGAGAGCAGTTTCAGTCCGAGCTCATCTTCAAAAAAATATTTTATGACTTCCGGGCTGCTCTGTAAAAACTATACTTTTTTTTTTAATTTTATTGTTATGTTAGTCACCATACATCATTAGTTTTTGATGTGGTGATCCACGATCCATTGTTTTCGTATAAAACTATACTTTTGACGGAGTAACTCGGGCCGTGTCCCGAACGTTGGAAGGTATAAAAGCACCTGGCGGGGTCGGTCCGAGTCGCTCTGGGGGCTCCTGATCTCCAGGCGTGGGTTTGAGCCCCACCGTGGGTATAGAGGTTACTTACATGAATTTTTTTTAAAAAAGGTATAAAAGGGGTAAACGGTGAAAAGGAAGTTCCCCTCCGCCCAACCCTTCACTCTGTGGAGACAACCGGTAGTCGTTTCCTGTGTATCCTTTTCAACTGTATCTTAGGCTACAACACAATACAGTATTCTCACTACAATATATAAATTTTTTTTTGTACATCTTAGAACATTAGATCTTAGAATCTTAGAAGGTTCTACAACTTACTTTTTTAAAACTTCATATTAAGTTGACTATCTTTTCATTTCAGTATAGAACCGTCTTAGTCGTTTTGAGGGCTGTATAACGTTCCACTGTAAGGGCTGTATCGTGTTCGTTTCTGAGGGGATAATCTGACCTTCTCTCTCTCTCCTGAACTTAAATATCTTTTTTCCTCTTTATTCCTTAGGTTCATATTGGTTTAGGGAAGCACACTCAGAAAATGATACTGGACAAGCCTGGCAGGCCTCGGGTGACATGGGGCCATTTTCCTACCTGCGGGAATGCTGTATCCAGGAGTCATCCACAGGAGGTGGTGCAGGGGTGAACGTGGTGGCAGTGTTGATGTCGCCAATGATCACCAGGGCTTCTTTAAGGGCTTGGTACATTCGAAGCATCTCATCCCGGCGCTGAGCCTGCTCAGCAGATTCCTCCATCAGGGTATTTTGGTCCTCTGAGGAATATAACTGTGCAAGGAGCTCTGAGTTTATGAAATCTTTAACCTGTCAGGTCACCACAGAAAAGTGAAAATGGGAATACATGAGTGATCAAATGGTATAAACTGGTTCAGAGCCTGTAGACAAAGTCCATAACCGCCCACTCTGGGAAAAGATGCATGATGCATGATGTACGCAAGATGTATGATGTGTATGCTTCTGTTTACTCTTATTTTCTTCATTGTCCTCCCAATCCTCCGCACCAGTGCAGGGACACTTTTCCCCTCTGTCTTATGACTGTGGACTAAAGGAAAACCTGCATCAGTGGAAAGAGGACTAAACCTGGCCATCACCAGAACAGGGCCTGTTGGTTATGCAAGCATTTCCACATTGTTGTCTGAGGCCGCTTGGCATAGAGATGAGGGCAGGTACCAGGAGGTAAGCAGCAGTATTTTCAGCAGAAAACAAGGATATAAAGAAACCTAGGTAATAACACAAGTTATCCATTCCTTGGTATTCCCAGTCCTTTACCTCGCTTTTACCAAAATCACTGGAATACTATTAAGATCCCAGGTTTCAATGTCAACTCGAAAGTGGAATGAGCACCAATAAGTGAATTTTTATTAAATACAGAACCTTAGATAATCATGCAAGTTGATTTACAAAAAATAAAAAAATAAAAAAAAGGATATACTTTCAGCTTTCTAGAAGTTTACAATAGAACTCCTTCACAGTAATGAGGACTGACATGGGTTTCCATAGTTAACAGATATATGGAAACAGACTTAAGTATGAACAACGTGTATAAGTCTTAGGGGAGTGGCAGTTTGTAGCAGAATGAGAACAGAGAAGATGCATACATTGCACAGCACTGAGGCAGGGAGCACCAGCTGCCATATTTCATCAAATCAAAGATACCAGTAACTTTAAGACACACCATAATTTTATGTGCCACTAAGAAAAACACCATTAATTAAACTATGACAGAATGCCAAGATGCGATTGAGTGTGACATGCATCTTCATGTCAAAACTATTAAATATGAAACAAGTGAATGTGGGAATCAATGAAAGGTGGTATGCCCCACATACCTTCACAAGTTATCTGATTGGATTCTCACTACATACTTATGAAATCTATTATGATCTCAATTTTACAGGTGAAGAAACTGAAGTTCAGAGAGTTTAGTAATTTGCCCAAAGTCACATAATATTAAGTCAAACCCCAAGTCTTTGGACTCAAAGTCTAGTGCTCTTTCCGTTACCTCCTTATGCCACTTTGATTGAGTGCTTAGCAAAGACAATTTATGTTTAAGCATCATGATTGTAGAGTGGTATTGCAAGTATGCTGATTAACTTAGCCTACAAAAATAAACCAACTCGGATTTTTCAGTTTCTCTGTTAAATGAGACTAAGGCTTATCTAGAGTCACTGGATCTTTTTAGGAAAGACCAAAGGCCAGCATATTTAATTGTTACAAATTCAGGCAGACAGCGGCATAGCTGTCAGAGGCTCAGAATCCCTAGGTTGTAGTGAAATATGTAACCAAGAGATGACAACAGTCGAAAACACATAGCTTTATTATTTTTTAAAGGTATCAAACTATGTAAATAATTCTGCTGATCAGAAAATTCAGCTAAGTCACAGCTTCACTGTGGTGAAATAAAGAGTATTCTCTCCATATTTTGCAAACCAAGAGTGATTCAAATGTGGAAGTAATCCAGTAGACGAGATGTATTTGGGCAACTGTCTAGTAGGGTAGAAGGTTTATGTGTGATAGCTGTGGAAGGTAAGTTTGGCCAGGTAACCTGAGGCCAGATGTGAAAGCCTTGAACGCCAAGGAAAAGTGTTTGAACTGTATCCACTTGGCAGTGGGAAGCCATGGAAGACTTCTAAGCAAGTAAGTGAAACAATAAAATAGAGTTTTAGGAAAATTAATCTGTCTGTGATAGAAAAGAATTTGTAAGGGTGGTAGCAGAGAGAAAGAAATCTGATAGAAGACCATTATAGATCATTTCTAGACGGTAGGGCTTTCATTTAGCGAGACTGCAGTGTAATAGAAAAGATGGGCACATATCAATTACACGACAGAGGAAAAACCAGGTGGGCGTAGGCTGGTTTGATGTGAAAGGGCAGGAGCAAAAGGAACAAGGACACTTCAAGCACTGAGGTTGGGGTGAGTTGGAAAACAGAAAATCAAAAGTCAGGAAGGAGAGTTAGAGGAAAGACAGTAAATTTGGCTTAAGGAATGTTTCATTTCCCCCCCCTCTTTTTTTTGGAGATTTAGTCACTTTTAAAACATACTTGCAGGTACCCAAGGAGTCAGGGACATTTGCGCGAATCTTCCGCTGCTGGGCATGTGCATGCACTCAGATAGATGATGCAACGCAAAACTCAAAACCAGACAATTTTCCTGGCATTGAACAGCAGTTGGGCTAAGCTAGTCTGAAGCTTTACATCTAACTGGAGTATCACTTAGAATCTATTAAACACAATTTAAAAGAAGGTCCTTCCAAGAATAGATTTAAAGCAGATCTGAATTAAGAAGCGACTGTCAAACAAACCACGAAATAAAATAATAAGGGCTTGTTTCAGCATTCTGATCAAAGATCTGCCTTGAATCAACTCTTCCACATCAGAACATGACACGCTAAAACTTGCCTACTATCCCAAAGATCTGGCAATGTTGTGAATTAATAGGAGCATCACTACTGGCACAGGAGAAAATGGCAGTATGGCGCAGTGGTTAAGAGCTCACGCTCTACAATCAGACAGCTCTGAATCTGAGTCCTAGTTCCCACACTTAACTGTTCTTGAGCAAACAAGCACCTCCCCCAGTTTCAGGCTCCTGATCTGTAAAATGGGGACAGTGGCAGGAGCTGTCTCAAGAGCTGTTGTGAGGATCAAGTGAAAAAATGATTTTAGGTTGCCTCGCGCAATGCCTAGCATTTCGTTAGTGCTCTGCAAGCAGAAGCTGTTCTTTCTAAAGCATGCAGATGAAATTGGCCTGAGGTATTTAGAGGGAGAAGAACACACAGAAAGCTATTGCAATGGTGCAGGCGTTCAACACAGAGCGGAGGTTAACGTTTTATTTTGCGCTGAAACAAAATTTTAGAAAGACTCTTCTCCTGCTTGCCTAGCTTTGGGATGCCACAACTGGAACAAAGGTAGGGGGATGTCAGGGAGTTTCCAGACACTTCAGGGACTTTCTGAGCAGTCTGTATGTCCGTGGTGCAAATACATAAATTTCAAGGATTCTGCATGACAATCGAGGCCCAGTAAGATCCCTTGGAGGTGATGGTATTTAGAATACACCTCACAGAACATGACATAAACGAATTATACTTGGATGCAAGACTTGAAATAATATTTATGCTTTTAATTATAACACCTTATAACCTATACATCTTGGTATGGTTCACAAAAAAAATTCTCATACACAAAACTTCATTCCAGTTCAGACTCTACAGGCTAGATAAACAGGCATGACTGCACCATGTCGTTCTGCTCAGTGTAAAGGAATGTGAGGTCATTAAAAACGTTCCACATGTTTTCCTCTCTTTTGTACTTAACCCTTCTCTATCAACCTGCAGTAGTTTTGGATCTTAAGCCTTCTTCGTCTTCATAATTAAGACCATTTTAAAGCCTTCACAAATAGAAGGGACATTCCTCGAATTTTCACACAATTCTGTTACTAAGGAGGCCATTTCTAGATGGGAGTCTGCAACACAGTGATCACTTGCATTCATGTGAATGTACAAAAAATGTAATTGAGCAGTTTAAATTTGCTTAGTTTGGGAAAGGGGCTTGGTTAGAAGCTTGTGATTCTCTGAGATCTCACAATTCTTTCATGTCTGCTCTAGCTTCCTTTCCATTTCTCAGGGACGTATTTCTGCTAAAGACCAGTGCTGTTTTCCTTCTTGAAAAAGTGACATCCTTTGCCTCACAAACCTAACGTCAAGCCAAAGAAGTTAGACACAGAAAAGCACCCACTATACGATTCCAAAGTTCAAGAACAGTCAGAGCTAAGATAAGCTATGCTGCAAGAAATCAGGAGCGGTACCCTTGCTGGGGAGTGATGGGAGGTGGGAGCACACAGGAGGGGGGAGGGGGGGACTCTTCTGGATCCTGGTCCCGATCTGTTTCTTGAGCAGGATGCTGAATTCTTGACCCGTGGAAACAAATCAGTGCCCTGGTATTTAAGGTGTACTTTCCCCTCAAATAATGAACATTTGAAATAACACTCGACTTCATACACATGAAAGTTACAGTGAGTTTTGAAACGAGGGCACATGTTACTAATTTTCCAGCAAAGTGCCACTGGCCAAGGAGAGTAAATGTGGAGCTCCAGGGGTCCAGGGGTCCAGGCAGCAGCACACACTCCAAGTGTGAAATGCCCCCGGGCTTCATATCTGATTCTTAAAAAGTTTCATAAAATTTTTACATTCTATTTTGTATTTTCTAGGTTTGAATTACTAGTTAAGATTTAAAATGTTTCACATATTCAAATAAACCCTAATGAAATCTTCCAGGAAATGAGCCTTCTGGGAAGATACACCAGGTAAGTGCTATGGGCAGAGCAGCCCTCTAGGTGGAGAAGGCTGAGCTCCATAGTTCGCCCATCCTTGCTATATGCATTAACTGACTAAGGGTGAGATCTGGGTTTTAATCTTGACTCTGCCAGCCCCGGCTATGTGACCCTGGGTGAGTCCCTTAGCCTCTCAGCACCTCAGTTTCTCCATTTATAATCGGGGCAAAATAATGAGTGCCCCATGGATGGCTGTCCTGTGGGTGCCAACACTGAACCATGTACCGCCCTGCCATGCAGACGTTCACAATAAAGCTCGATTCTCAGACAGAGAATCTTCTGGTGGGGTGGGCTGCAGAGCAGAGGCCATCAAACTGTGCTTGCCCTGGGGGGCTAGGTGTGTGTGAACATTAAAGTCCCGACCAAAACTCCGCTGCTTCGGCTGTAGCCGGTCCTGAATGGCCGGCTGTCATAAACTTGCTATTTCTTTGTGCCGCTGTTCCCCAGTGCGCTTAAGCGCTGCAACAGCTGTTCTGCTTCAACAAAGGCTTACAGTATGTCTGAGGCAAGGCATTTATTGCTGGCTTTAAACTTCTTAAATAATTCCATATGGAGACCTGAGTGGCAGAACACTTAATGTAAACTTTCAAAGGAAACTGCCCACCAAATTCTGAACGTTATAAAAGTTGGCTGAAACATATTCTTTTTCAGTAGGCAGGGTAGCCATTCCCATTGCAAAGAGGAAAGGCCACGGCACCGCTTTCGACGGTGACTGTCCACAGACAGAGGACCCCGTTGCAGGCATTCCCTGGTGCTGGAGAACCAGGGTCCACCCAGCGCCATTTATAGAAGCGGCAGGGTTAAGTGGATGGAATTTAGCATGAGGAGGCAGAGTATTTGTTTTCTAGCTGTGATTTTATGATGGATTCTCTACCTTGAAGATCTCTTAACATCGAATAAACAACCGGCACATAGGCATGACACGGTGCTTGGTGTTCAGGGCGTTTCTGGTTCTTGTGCTCAACAGGGCCCTTCCGGAGTGAACACAAAGGGCTCAGGTGTTCTGTCCAATAAGATGCCCTGAGAATACGGCATTTAAAAGAGCAATTTATATTTTTACATCTATGTAATTATCAAATATATATATATATATATAACTATGTATTTTGACATATCTAGGAAAAAAGCAAACAAAATAATACTCCAGGAAAAGTGGTCATCCGAGATATGTAAAACTATTTTCTGACAGATACAAAAAATTAAATTTCCAACAACGATAACCATCATTTCGTAAGAATCCAAGCATCACGCGATGGTTCTGTTTTCTCCACATTCCTGTGAGTCTCAGCGTCAAGGTCCTCTTTCTCATTATTCTTGTGCAAGGTCTCTCTCAAGACAGCTTGCAGAGCTCTGCCTCTACAGAGAATTCCCTGGGGGGCGGGGGTTCAGCCATTTCATTAAAGCCAACAAGCACACCAGTGAGGGGTGAGGGCAATTACCCCCGTGTTTCTTTGTGTACGTGTGTGTGTGTGTGTTTCTTGAGAAGGTGAAAGTAGGATAGATTTGTAAGAGGGTCTTTTTTTCTTTTTCCTTTTAACTAATTAGTGTCAGGCAACTCCTCGTGCTCTAGACAGTAAGTGCTATTTCCTGTGCCGATGATTTAATATAGTGCAGAGCAAAGCAGGGTTTGAACTGATGGCCACACTAATGACTTGCGATAAAACAGTGAAAAGATAAATGATACTTAATCAGGAAAATGTTTAAATAAGCAAGTGCCTGGATATACCACAGCAAAGCAACCTGAACTCATTTAAGGAAAATTAAGAGGGTAATTTAAAAAATACATAGACTATTTGTTTAGTACTCTGTATTTTTCAAAATGGCATACAGTTGCATTTATTATGTTCTCTGACAATTCAGTGAGGCAGCTCAGTGTTCTTACCGTAATTTTAGAAGTGACTGACTTCAACTCAGAGGGGCCAAATTTGCTTCAGGTCACACAGCAGGCCATTGACTAAGCTTAAGAATACAATTCATGGTTTCCAAATTTCCAATATATTGCTTACCTACTGCTGATACTTCAAAGCATCCTAGTAGCCTTGTTTAATTATGCAAAATCTTGCATGGGAATAGGGTTAAAAACCATGGGTGCTTAGAGCTTCTTCAAGAAGGGTTTCCTTCAAGGGGTTTCTTCCCGGAAACCTTTCTTCAAGGAATGAATTCACCATGAACCACAAATAGAATGTCATATTTACAAATACAATTTTGAAAGAAATCTTGAAATATGGACAAAGGCTCTTTATAGTTCTGAAATAGGCAGGCAGCCACATTGGTTTCTTACATTTTTTATAGTACTGCCATATATGCTATCTTCTGAAATAAATCCCTAAGCCAGGTACCTTTTCTATGATTCGTATTTTACATATGGAGGAAATGAATGCAAAGAAGTTCACCGATTTGTCTTGAGGTCAACAGAATCTGTAGCAGAACCAGGCTCAGAATATAGGTTTCTCCTGAATTCGAGTGTGTTCAGTACCTTTGCCAGCTAACTTGTATGTGTTACAAGCAAATGCTCATAATATATCATCGATTTAAATAAAGAGGTGTCCCGAGAAGACAGCTAGAACTAAAAATGCTGGTGTCTCCTTGTCAAGAATCAGAAAAGCCTGTTATAAAACACTGCATTATAGCCTATTTTATCTAAAAGACAGTTTCTCAAATAACTTGTGATATTATTTGTCCTTTAATAAAGTAGCTGTCAAAAGAACCGAACTAGATCACGTAATTTAAGTATCATATCCTGACTACTGTAAAGTAACCATGAAAAGGGAGGGATTCTGTACAATCCAGATCAACTGAGGGTTCGTCTAGCAGGCACTTTAAGATCTGTGGTAATATCACCATTAGCTTAGATAAGAGAAGTTGACTGACTCTGAATCCAAGGGGATAGGGCAAAAAGCCATTGCTCGGGTGAAAATAGCATTCCGTAGTTTTTAGAAAGTGAAAATAATCATATCAATGTATGTTATGTGTTTGTGTGTAGAAAAGAATAAATATTTTTTGCTTTTAATCTCAAAGTCTAGGAGCTGGGGCATCTGGTTTTATTGCTAGCTTTGCAATTAACTCACACCCTGAGCACAGCTGCAGTATTTTTGCTCTGCTTTCTTGGGAGCAAATGCACACTCTTCAAGAGCAGATAGGCGATAGGGAATTCCACAGTACTGTGGCTGTAAGTTTCATGTTGGCTTCCCTAAATTCTCTTTCACTGGTCAGTCGCTTGCCACTTGTAATAGAAAATGAGGAATCTGGGTAATAGGTATTCAACCATCCAGAAAATATCACAAAGAAGCTGGTGAGAATATGAGCAGTTTCCACACCAAGATGGGTTAGAAGTTAAAATGAGACAGTTTATAATCACTTACATTATTGATCATAAGGTGCATTATTGTTTTTGGAATTAGATCTCGGATACATTTGTTGATGATAGACATGTAGGAGTCTACGAGGTTGCGGATGGTCTCCACTTGCCTCTCCAGTTGTGGGTCCATGGAAAAGTTTTCTGCTTGGCCATTCTCATCATTTTCAGTCTAACAGAAAGGAAAGAAAACATGGATTATTTCACATTCGTTCAGAAGAAAAAAAATACCATATATTTTCAGATGATCAACTTCTCACTCTGTTTGGAGTTCTATTACTAGATGGTTAACATCTTTATCTTAAACATACCCATTAATTCTGAAAAGAGATCAGAACCAGGCAGTTATTCCTCTATTTTTAGCGACCCACAACCTAGGGAAAGCAACTATTCTGAGCAAACGCTGAGATGAATAACCAGATAAACAGTGCACCTAACAACATACCTCTAGAGAACAATCTAATCTTCAGCCATTTGCAAGCTGGCCAAAGAACTGAATCCAAGCAAATGATGCAGATGCAAACCTCTGGGAGAGGTCTCCAGGGATTCTATAGATTAGAAATAACCTTGGTGTTGTTCTGGAACTCCTAGGTCTGTTCTGGAATGGATCAGCATTTGGATCAGCCCAGGTTTTAAAACTAAATCTCCTAGGCCTGGCCTGGAGCCAAAATAAGAGATATAGAGAATAATTCATCTTTCCATGCACTTGCTGGAATTTGTTCTGTAAATTCACGCTTCTGTCATCACTACTAAAGGCTGGCTCCATTGTGGAAAACTTACAATTTTAACTTCCAACTTGTTATTCTTTGAATAAAACAGAACACATCTATACACAAAGAATTTATTTGTGCAACATGAGAGAAGCATCTGTTTTCTATACTTTGGGACTTGAGTTAATTAATTTTGGCTTATCCACCAGAGGCTGGGCTGGAATGGCATCTTCATCATTAAGGGCTGACCTATTGGCTTGGCATTGAAATCAATTTAGAACAAATGGTCTCCATTTCAAGTCAGGTTGAACCATCTAAGCCCCAGAACATGATACAAATATTGTTAGTGGTCTGGCTACTTTCTAACATTTGGAAAGATTTAATTACAAATGCAAAAAAAAGGGGGGGATAATTTATTGCTTCCATTGTAGACATGAAGTACTTTTCCTTGGAAATGTACATACTTTGATCTGCCAGGTTTTCAATCATCCTATCAGTTTTAGGCAAAGCCCCGTGCTTAAATGGATCTATAAATGACAAACTTTTCCTTTGAATCAATATGCATGTGTGAAAAGCATATTTGTAGGCCTACAAAGTCAATAATAACAAAGAGAGAAATAGGTCCTAGTCATTTATATAGGCTTCTCTTGCTCAGAAATATCCAATACTTTTTAAAAATATTAAAATAATGTGCTCACTCTAAAACACAACAGTCGTTTCTCCAATCCTGAGAGTATGGCCCCATGCTTCAGGGCAATAGTTTGAGGACATTTCTGAGGCATCTTACAGCTACTCCAGCAAGGTAGAGGAAGTTTCAAAAATGACAGTTGTTTGAAATGGTCTTTGGTCACTGAGAGAAAGAACTAAATCAAGTCTTCTGTAGTAAAGAACTACTTTTATTCTTAATTGGTGATATACAAGCACAATAGGATCTAGGACAAATGGGTATAAAGCTGAAGCCATAAAGTGGTAGGTAGAGGGAAGGTAAGCCACAGCAGTGAAAAAACAATCATGTTTCCAAACTCCTTCCTAGGGTATAAAAACCACTTCAAATGTGTTCCATGCTGAGCCCAAGTTGTAAGCCAGTGGTAACTGCGATGTTGTTTTAAGGATAATGTATTTGAAAGTGAAAACTTCAGGTTCAAATTCAGACTCTATTGTGTACTGGTTGTGTGGCCACACTTAAGTTACTTGATGTGATTTAAACTCAGCTTCCCTATCTTTAAAACGGGGATACACGTCCCTGGTGAGCTTGTGGAAGCTAAAGGAGATAACACATAGGAGATGACCTAGCCAAGGGCCTCAATAAATGTTAGCTGCTTTCTTTCCTTTCTGAATATTCATGGAATAAGAGTTAGAAAGCTACTTGACTCTCAACATACACTATGAAAATTTAAGGTGAAAACTTTGAGCATAAAACATTTTCAATTCAAGCAATATAAAAATGGCAAGTGTATTTTTTTTAACACCTCCACGTTTTCCTTTGAATCAATACGCATGTGTGAAAGGCATATTTGTAGGCCTATGAAGTCTGCCTGGACCCTCCTCCTCCCACCCGTGAAGATCTTTCATCTTTCAGAGCCTTCTGGACAGGCTCCTGATGGCCCCCAGACCCCCTCGCTTCCCTGCTCTGTACTTCCTCTGTGTCTTTTATTCACTTTTTAAAAATATCCAGCCTCAGTTTATGCTCCTCTCCTATTAGATTCTGGTGTCTTGTTTCTCTCTCCCTTCTCAGCACCCGGCACAGAGCTTGATGCACGGGAGAAGGAGTTAACAACTCCACAAGGGGTTTACCTAAATCAAGGAAGCCGCTCTGGTGCATTCAGGGGTTCCAAGTGTGCCTGCCTATGTGTCAGAGACACTAGAGACCAGAGAAACCCCAGGGTGGTGAGTTAGGACCCATGACTACTTGATAACAGTGAGAATGATAAAATGATTATGAAATTATGTATACAAATGAGAACAGATGACCAACAGCTTTGGGAGGAAAACAGCTTTTATACAAAGCGACATAAACCTCCATGATGGATAAAATACAATTCAGTTTGTCTCTCTGATCTGAAATATACTGAGGTTTTGCTATGGTATTTAACAGTCGGGGGCGATGACATTTCAGTATCAATATTCCACCTGTCCCAGGAACACTTTTTGAGCACTTGCTGTGTTCTAGGTACTCCGCTAAGCACTTTGCGTAGAAGATCCACACCACGACCTTGTTAATTGTCAATCCACAGAAGAGCATGTTGAGTCTCTGAGAGCTGAAATTTGTTCAGTAAGTGTAAGATGCATACAATTTTAACAAATTTCTTTTTTCTTCCGTAAGTATAACAAAATCTATTATGAAACAGTGAAACATTCATAAAACATCAAGTCAGTTTCATAGATAAAATAAATGTAGAAAGAGTTTCCAGGAAAAAGATGTCATTGAAATATTGCTATTTGTAAAAAAAAAAAAAAAAAAAAAAAGATTGAAACAAAAGAGAAAAGCAGAGTAAACAGTATTTTTAAAAGAATACCAGAAATATAAAACACCAAGAAATTATACCATCATCTGCATGTTTACATAGAAACACTGAATTTTCCCATTTCACACTACTTTTAACATTTAGCCTTACTTTACTTTTTGCTTATCAAAACATGCAAAAGACATTCACTTTCACTTTTCAAAACCAGATGCAAATAATAAGGAAAGTGTCAGAGTGAATGGAGAACACCGAATGGATTCTCAACACACACACACGCGCGCGCACACATGCACACGCACATGTGCACACACAAGTATTCCAGAGTAACCCGTAAAACAATTTGAAGTTCTCTTTAGCTTTTGGAAATAATATGTGGTCACATGCAAACTTTAACTACTCAGATAATACCATGGACGTGACGGGGAGTCAGAATTCAGAATGCAAGTTGAATTTCTTTTCTGATTTTAGAAAGATAGAAGAAATACTTGCCTTTTCTAATATAGCTAAGATAAATGGGGGAAATATGCATAGATGGACTTTTTCTTTTAACTGAGTAATTTCAGAGAGCAAATGTTCCCTTTTCTCTGACCCAGTTCTAACCAAATTCTGTCGTGCTTTTTTCTGTATGTATACTGTGTATGACTATGTATTTTTTCTTTGTTTAAATTATAGGATTGCAATAGGATTCTTTGCAGTCTAAGCACTGAAGTGACAGCTGTTTATCATTATCCTCATCAAGGGAATGTAAAATAAAAATAGTAATTTGTCTCTGATCTTTGAGGCAAAAAAGAATGGTCTGCAAACATTTAACCTTTTATGTGCAGGTTCATTGATGCTGTTTACAAAATGTGAATAATATTGTGAAAACCAGCTTTCTTCTGAAAAATACAATGGACAGGCCTTCCTATTGCAATTTTGTTCACAGCTTTTGTGAAATCTAATGCAACTTAAACAATGAAAAATAACAACTCAGCACTGTAAATGGTTTATAAACAATATTGTAATTTTCTTTCTTATGAAACTATTTGCACGGTATTCAAGAAACAGTCTGTTTTACAACATTTTAATTTAAAAGTTTTCTCCTAGAGACTTAATACTTTAACAGGTAAGAGGACAAAATAGTCAAATCAGAAATAATTCCCACCATACCTTAAAGCAACCATTATAGGAGATCTGGGCTTGATGGGGGATGTCTATCTTTCATGTATTTTGTTTTCATCTCTTTTCTTTCCTTAAATTTCTTTTTTTTAAAGATTTTATTTATTTATTTGAGAGAGAGAGAGAGCACCAAAGCGGGGTGAGGGGCAGAGGGAGAAGCAGGCTCCCGGCTGAGCAAGGAGCCCGATGTGGGGCTCGATCCCAGGACCCTGGGATCATGACTTGAGCTGAAGGCAGATGCTTAACAGACTGAGCCACCCAGGTGCCCTCTTTCCTTAAATATCTTATTGAATTATGTCATAGGCTTCTTGGAGGATCACTGAAACCATCTATATAAGATTATTTTCTTAAGGTGACTGCAACTCTTTAAAAGTGGAACGACAGAAATGCAAAGTATTCTGGCAAAAATACATACATAAACATACTAGCTAATTGGTGGGGGGAAGTTTGCTGCATCTCTTCTCACCAATGGAGAGCATTGCACTACAACCTACAGATCTACACAAGTGATTTTTCCAGATAAGCAACACTTGCCCCTTTCTAAGCACATTATTATCATACAATTTCTCTACTACCTTAAACAAACAGTAAAAAATATCATTTAACTTTCTCTTAGTGAATCAGGTCATCATTATGAAAATAGTGTTACCATGGTAACGCAGCTTTGAATTTTCCAGCCCCACATTATGAAGAATGTCTCACTGAAAACCTTTCCCCACTTTCAGTTATGTACTTCTTCTAATTTGCAGAGGCCAATTAGAGGCTAATTTGCAGAGGCAGGCAACCAACTTGTAAAAAAACCAAAAAACCAAAAAACAAAAACTATGGAAGAAATGTGC